CTCTGCACGCAGTCATTGCCAAGTGCGACGCGACGATCAATGATCACCGAAATACACCCTCCCCCTCCCCCCCTCCCTCCCTCCCTCCGTCGCCGCCTTCGTCGTCCGATACGCCCATCATCCTCCCTTATCCGGATTCTCGTCTCTCTCGTCTTTCGTTTCTCGTCTCTCTCCCTCTCTCAACCCCCCCCCCCCTCTCTCACTCTCACTCTCTCTCTCGTCTTTCGTTTCTCGTCTCTCTTCCTCTCTCACCCCCCCCCCTCTCTCTCTCTCTCTCTCTCTCTCTCTCTCTCTCTCTCTTGCTCTCCGTCTCTCTTGCTCTCCGTCTCTCTGCTCTCCGTCTCTCTTGCTCTCCGTCTCTCTTGCTCTCCGTCTCTCTTGCTCTCCGTCTCTCTTGCTCTCCGTCTCTCTTGCTCTCCGTCTCTCTTGCTCTCCGTCTCTCTCTCCCTCCCTGTCTGTCTGTCTGTCTGTCTGTCTGTCTCTCTCTCTCTCTCTCTCTCCCTGTCTCTCTCTCTCTCTCTCTCTCTCTCTCTCTCTCTCCTCTCTCTCTCTCTCTCTCTCTCTCTCTCTCTCTCTCTCTCTCCTCTCTCTCTCTCTCTCTCTCTCTCTCTCTCTGTCTCTCTCTCTCTCTCTCTCTCTCTCTCTCTCTCTCTCTCTCTCTCTCTCTCTCTCTCTCTCTCTCTCTCTCTCTCTCTCTCTCTCTCTCTCTCTCTCTCTCTCTCTCTCTCTCTCTCTCTCTCTCTCTCTCTCTCCCTCTCTCTCTCTCTCTCTTTCTCTCTCCCTGTCTCTCTCTCTCTCTCTCCCTGTCTCTCTCTCTCTCTCTCCCTGTCTCTCTCTCTCTCTCTCCCTGTCTCTCTCTCTCTCTCTCCCTGTCTCTCTCTCTCCCCCTCCCTCTCTCTCTCTCTCTCTCGCGTGCGTACGGGCGTGCGTGTGTGTGTGGAGAGAGAGTGTGTGAACGTGACTGTGAATGTGACTGTGAGTGTGAGTGCGTGAGTCTAAAGTGTAAGCGTGAGTGCGTGCAAGTCTGGAAGTCGTCGAGTCCGCGTCTGGCTGAAGCTTCCTCTCCCCTTCTCCGATTCCCATTCCGATTGAAACGCAGCTATCTTTCAAGAAGACCCCTTCCGACCCACAGAGCAGCAAAATAAGAGCTAGTGAGAGAGAGGGAGGGAGGGAGAGAGGGAGGGAGAGAGGGAGGGAGAGGGAGGGAGGAAGAGGGAGGGAGGGAGGGAGAGGGGGAGGGAGGGAGGGAGAGGGGGAGAGAGAAAGAGAGAGAGAGAGAGAGAGAGAGAGAGAGAGAGAGAGAGAGAGAGAGAGAGAGAGAGGAGGGGGGGAAGGGAGGGAGGGAGGGAGGGATGGAAGGAGGGAGAGAGGGAGAGAGGGAGAGAGGGGGAGAGAGGGAGAGAGAGAGAGAGAGAGAGAGAGAGAGAGAGAGAGAGAGAGAGAGAGAGAGAGAGAGAGAGAGAGAGAGAGAGAGAGAGAGAGAGAGAGAGAGAGAGGTAAAGAGGGGGGGTAGAGAGGGAGAGGGGTGTTGGAGGATAGGATGGGAGAGAGGGAGAGGGAGAGGGAGAGAAAGAGAGGGAGGGAGAAAGAAATAGAGTGAGAGTACAGGAGGGAAGGAGAAGGTTGGAGGCAGAAGAGAGGAGAGGGAGAAAAAAAGAGTGAAGTAAGGGAGAAAAAAAAAAAAACGAGAGAGGAAAGGGGGAATAAACACGCATAAACACAGAAATAGTCCAACCATCTCATCTTCGCTCTCAGTGGGTCGCGATCCAGACAAGAAACGCACGGCATTGTCCCCGCACAATGAGCATCTCAGAAACATTATTCTCGCCTTGTTTCTATATGATGATAACGCGGACTCCCGATCGCGACAATGGACCTTCTGCAGCCTGTTGATACGGCTCAGTCTCCCCTGTGCGTGGTCCGAGGGGAAGGAACCAGCACAGATTTGTGGAATCAATGCTGGTCTGTGATTGGTCCGCTGGATGTATGTCCGACAGCCCCCATTGGCTAGTAGTAAATACTATTAGTAGAGGGAAGATTGAGAATTAGGTGCGCGTACACACCGCCGAACTTGTTTACAACGTAGCCTCTTATTAACCCAACTGCCGCAGGTGCCACTTCTCGTATTCCCACGTGGCACTGGCACAATGCCTCCGCGGTTATAATTGACCTTTAACGCCGTGCTGCGGGCCTTGTTAACATAAAGCTGCCTGCTGCTCCGGCTTCGGGGTGCTTGCCGGCACTTTATTGTTTGTCATGTTAGACTGGTTACAATTAACATTTTTATTATCGTGTTGAATGTTAATCAATTATGCCACTAGTTTTTTTTTTTTTTCTTTCTTTTTTTTATAAACCAGAGATGCCTGGCACTATCCAGTTCCAGAAACTCGTGGAATTAAAAAAAAAAAAAAAATCTAAATATCTGTACAAAAATCTATATGTATAGATCTGTTTATAAATAGCAAATTCCTCACCGACGTAACAAAAGTGTCTCACAAACCTTGTAGAATAGAAGCTCCACGCCTCAGGGCACGGCTGCAAGGGAAGAAAGAATCAATTTAGGTTCATGAAGTCAGACCGCGGATTTCTTCCCTCCTCAAACTTCACCCGTTAGAATAAAAAAAAAAAAGCCAGCGCTCTTATCAGTCCACTTTCCCAAAGGGCGCTATAGCTTCATCATCACCCTTCTTATTACTCCAGCTGCTCCTCTCATCACCATCAGCCCTGATCTCCCTCATTCGGCGCCATCATCCTTCCATTATCTTCCTCAATCCTTCTCCAAGAGGAACCACTTTCAGCTCCTTTTCATCCCCCTCCCCCCCTTCCGCTTCTTCCAACATGTCCCCTGTAGTTCCCTTTTCTCTCTTTCATCCTCCCTTTTCCTTCGCTTAACGTCTTCCCTCATTCCTCCCTACCGCTTTCCTCCATCACTAGCCTCACGCCCTCCCCTCGCCCCTCCGAAAGCTCCCTTATCTCCTTTCCCTTCCAAAGCCCTCTTGCCTCTCGAATGCCTCGCTTCCCCAGCCCCTGCCCCATTCCTATTCCAATGGACGCGCCCAGTCCCCCCTGGCCTTCTCCCTCTCGACTCCCCCTTTCTCCTTATTTCCCCTTCCCTCTCTCGACTTCCCTCGCTTCCCTCTTCCATTCCAGGCCCTTCCCTCCTACCCTCCCTTCGCAAGCCCGTCCGACGTCCCTGCCCCTAGCCTGTTCCCTATCCTGTTCCAATTTCCCCTTCGCCTAATCCTTCCCCGACCCCCTTCCCTGGTCCCCCCAAATCCCCCTCCTTTAATATCCCCTAATATCCCCTAGCGACCCCCTGGGCGGCGGCCGTCATTAACTCCTTCGGCGGTGGCTTTTGGTCGATAATAATTACCAGTTACTGTCGTGAGGCGGGCGGGTCAGGCAGACAGGCAGGCACTGGACCCACGTCCCTCTTCAACTACGCTCTCTCTCTTTTCTTATTATTGTATGTATCACACACGTTCCTCGCACGTTTTCGTGTAATATCGTACACAGTCGACACCATTAAATCGGAGATATTTCTTATATCTTTCGATGATAAACTTTTCATCTATCTCCATAATCAACATAAGTCTCGCAATGACCCGCGAAAGAAATGTGAACGTTTCCGTCTAGTTAATTTCACAGACAACAACAGCGCCACATTCATGGTTAACTCCAAATCCAATTCCAGTAGCACTAAGTCCACTTCCAGAAACTACACTCCACGTTCACTTCTCAAAACGTGTACAACCTCACTTCCGCTCTTGACAACCTCATTAACTTTACCTAATCACAGCTGCCAGCAACATCGGCGTAGATCCCAGCTCAGGCTTAAAACACAATGTTAAATCCCTGAATGACAGCAATACGAATGGTACTTCCACAAATGACAAAAATGTTATCGTAACCAACAACAGCAAATGATGTCACCTTCTGTGAAACAACTCTTAGGTTAAACATGAAATAACGACAGCCCATTTATAACTACCATGATAACTCCCATAACAACGTAATTCTACCTACAGTTCAACTCCCATGGCATCTCCACCTAAACCCCATGGCAACGCAAATCCACCTACAACCCCCATGGCAACGCAAATCCATCAAGTCAACAACCCCCATAGCAACGCAACTCCACCTACAACCCCATAGCAACGCAACTCCACCTACAACCCCATGGCAACGCAACTCCACCTACAACCCCCATGGCAACGCAACTCCACCTACAACCCCATGGCAACGCAACTCCACCTACAACCCCATGGCAACGCAACTCCACCTACAACCCCATGGCAACGCAACTCCACCTACAACCCCATGGCAACGCAACCCCACCTACAACCCCCATGGCAACGCAAATCCTTCAACAACTCCCATGGCATCCCCGGCAACAATTCCTCCCCCTTCCACAGAGAAAACACGGCACGGCAACTTCCGGGCAACTCCCAAAAAGACAATCCCAGGCCGCCACATGGTTGCCAATCGTCTTAAGACCAATCACGGCCCCGCCCGCCAATCGCGCTGCCAGTACTAATCAAAGTCCCATCATCAACAGTAATCACCGTACCTGATCACTAATCCTCTTACTGCTCAACCAATCCCCTGTCTCCCCCCCCCCCTTTCTTCATCCTCTTTGCCCTCCCTCCTGTTAGTGCTGCCTTGCTGTCTCCCTTTTTTCTGCCAGTCGCTATCTTTATTTATAAAGAACCTATCTATACAAAATATATCTACACAAGCAGCCGCATGCATACAAACAAACGGGCAAACACACACAACACGCACACGCACACGCACATACACGCACACGCACATACAGTCTATATAAAAAAGAATTTTCACTCCGTGCGTACACTTGTGGAGGCGCTCGTGACGTCAACATAAACGTTTTGTTCCCAGCTTCGCGTCTTCCTGGATATGTAAATATATCTTTCTCTCTCCTATGGCCCTTTTCATTTGTCTTCTTTCTTTCCCTTCTTTTCTTCTGTTGTATGCCCCTC